TACCACGCAGTAAGTGGCAGTTTAGTTGCACATAGCATATGTTAAACAGTGATTCATGCTGACACTTCCTAAATGGGTGTTAAAACTCCTGGGTGCATTCAAGGGGGAAAACACCTAGGCCAGCCAATGAACTCCTTCAGTTCCACAGCGCGGGTAGCCACAGCTTTCCCCTGGCAGAGATGCAGTAATATCTTCTGCTCACTTTCACAAGTAATTCTGGACCATTCCATTGCTCATAAGAAACTTTAGAGTGAAAGATTTCCTTTCCTTTCTGAGCATCCCTTAGTGGTTTCTGCAATTAAAGAGGTCTGAGTTGATCATATCCTAGCAGCTAGAGAGATCTGTTCAAAAAGAGAGCTCTGTGACTGAGCCATCTTCTATTAACAGGATACACTATGGAATATTTTATAGTGTAGATCAGCTCACTGCTGCACAGTTGAACAGATGCAATTTCCCCCTCCTGAGTTCTTTCCTTTTACATAATTGTACTGGCTGACTTAAATCATGACCTCTTTTATGTGATATATATAGATATAGATATATATGTATGTATATATCAAAGTTCTATACTTCTAGTTAAATCTTTTTCTATGGAAATTATCCAGAAGTTGACTGCAGCCTTGCATAACTACACTGCTCCATAAAAAAACCCCATCAGTTCAACAGCACTAAGGAAAAGTAGAATCAGCTATTACAGATACTGGTAAAGGAAAATGAATCCCTGGAAAGGAAAAGAAGCCTACAAGAGTCTAGAAGGCACAGAAATACTTGAAATGGATTATTAATCTCTCTCAATAAGAATGAGGGGCCAACCAAATCAGCAGACACCAAGTTTGAAAAAAGAGAGATTCACAAAGCAAGTGATAACTCATGCTGATTTCTTTCCAACCAAGCTGACATGGATTCTAGAAACAACTGTCCCAAGCATGTGGATAAAAGGAGAACTTTGAGCATCACCATACAGGCAAGTGGCACCACACTCAGGAGACCCCAAGGACAACACAGCACACCTTGAGAAGATTGCTGCATCATCACATTTGACCACACATAGAGATAATAAATGGAATAAATGCACAAAGAAGTTCAAAGGTTTTTCTCCTCTTTATTTAAACACAAATACATTTACAGCATGCAGGTAAGTTAAAACTATATGGCGTCTTCCCCAAACCAATTGTTTTAATGCATCTTAAGTGTACTGAAGTTAAATCAGATTCCACAGGTAGACTTGTCCTCATGTCAAATTTAGAGTTACACACAGTAGTGAGTCAGCATTTAAGTTATGTAAATAATTTAGTTGTTCACCAGAAATAAATATTATTTCACCAAGTTCCTATCCTAAACCATGTTTTAAAAATATGATCTAGAGGAACATAAAAATAAGAACTATTCAAAGACTGCAAGTTGAAATAGCAGTGTTGAACATTCCCTGTATAGACTGAGTATTTTCATTTACAAAATACAGTAATTGTCGTGTCTGGCTGACCTATGACAGCCAAACCAGAAAGCAAAGAAAGTTGTGTGTTTTTTAATTTTTTTTTACATTTTAAGAGGCAGTTCTTGGTAAACTTCATAAAAGGTTTAAAATAAAAAAAAAAAAGTTTAAATATAAAAAGGTGATGTACACTGAGCTACATACTAGTTACTATTCAATCTAACTTTTTAAACACAGCAATTTTCAGCACCAAAACCCATGACAATTACCTACAGGAATGAAACTCCCATTCACAGGCATGAGAAAAAAATCCTGCTTCATTTGAGTGTGTTGTTTTGTTTTTATGATTGCACATTAACAAATGAAGGCCTGAAAACCTGTAGTTAACTTTGAGAAAGATAATGGACAGTGCTGATTCCATGATGAGAAATTTAATTCAAAATATTTGTTGTTTATTTTTTTCCCCTCAGTATGCTGCCTTCAACTGTGCTCTAAAACAACTGCAAGTTTGGAGTGTTTGGCGACCTTAGTGAAGAAAACTCTTAAAAGCTGAAAACTCCAAATAGTGGGATTTCCAACTGATACACTCAACCTTTAAAAATCAAGCTATTAAAAATTCAGACTACTGTAGATATAGAAAAAAAGTGGTTCAAGGTCTAATACTTCATCATAATATAAATATTTTGCCTATTTTAAAATATAAAAATTGAAAGTGATTTGCTGTCTGAACAGCCACAGTTTCTACTGTTTCCACAATAACTGAATACCCAGCAAAAAACTCAAACCAGAACAAAAAGTTGTATCAACCAGGTCTGAGAAACTCATTGAATTTTTCCAGCAATACTAAGTTTCTTCTTTCTTAAAGACCTGGTAACTAGTTTCTATACAGAAGAAGGCTGTTCTAAAAATTATAGTGGCTAAATCCTATGAATAAGTTAAGTAAATTATACTATAAAACTTTAAACCCCGGATTCAGCTCAGTGACAGTACCGGAGCTCAAAACAACAACAACAAGAAAGGAAAAAAAAAAAATCAATCAAAACCCCGTGTTTCATTTTGTTAGCCACTTTACAGGACTTTATTGCAAAGAGAAGAAAAATATTCAACAACTACTACTTTGGACATTTCATATACCTACTTACAAATGGATTACAAATACAATTCAGGGTAGCACTTTATTTTATTGTTATTTTAAACATGCCTCTGGCATTTCTGGATACATCAGTTTTAAAAAAGTTGTGTCTTTTATTTATGCATCTGAATTCATTGGCCTGTTGCTGAAAAATTTTAAATTGAAAATTAAAATTTTAGCCAAAAATTCCAGTACTGTATGTAGTGGAATATAAAGTCACAGCTCAGACTGCCCTCATTTCACTATTACAAAATAGCAAAAGTGAACCATCACAGATGCAGACAAATGGAGAGACAGGCTCATCAGAATGAAGCAGAATGTTTTCACTCCACCAGACTGTACTTTGTGCAAAACCAGGAACAGGACAGATAGGATAATCCATTGCCAAGTCTTTTTTGTAAACTCAGGTTTACTTTTATTACTGTACAGTATTTAATTCTAAGTCACCCGGTGGCTGGGAATTCGGTAACAGTTACAGAGCCTCGGTCATACTGAACTCTTTAGGTCGGTGGTGTCACGGCGCCTTGTGGCAGCTGTCATCGGCACTTCAGGATCCTCACACTGTACAAACACAGTTAGCTCCAATGCTCTATGCAGCATTCCAAAAGAAACTGTAATGTAGAGTGCCGCCCTAATTCTGTGGGACATGTAGTGTTATGTGAAGTGATAAAAATCAAAGTATACTTAAACACTGTTGCACATTCCCTAAGACAACAAGATGTACACAAATTAAGCTAGAAAATTTGAACTAAGATTTTCTCAACGTACATTCAGCTTGGCACAGTGCAGACTAAATTTAAGACATGAAAGACAAACTGTGTAATAAGCAGAGCTACACTTTAAGTAACATGTCATTTTTCAAGACGCCAAAATTGCACTCTAGTTGTTTTTTTTTGGGAATCAGTTAGCAGAATTTGTAGAAGGGGGAAGAGCTGTACAGGCCAGGTATAATTTATACAATTTTCAAAAAATAATCCTACAGTCCCCACAAAAGGAGAGATTATTGTCATGGAATGACTCCCTCTACAAAATATCCAATCCTCCTCAATGCTGCATTTACTTTTCAGCAACTGCAAATGAAAAAAAACAGAGTTAAGGCAAAAAAAGCAAAGTTACTTACAATTACAGTAGACCATATCATTATTTACATGTCCTTTAGGAGCCCAGTTCTTAAACCACTGAGGTAAGTGCTAATAAAAAACCCACTTTAAAATATGAAATCACACAACACAAAGTATTTAAGCAATGCTGTCTGCTACCAACAAATTTACAGCACGACAAACTGACTGGGTATGCAATCTTGACTGCAATAATGGAGTAAACATTACAGACAGAAACCACTTATAGCCCAGCTCCATTTCCCATGACTGTTGCTGCTTTTCCTGGCTAGTGGCAACTCCTTGGTCATTCAAGGCAAATTTTATTCAAGGTTGAGGTACCTATGAGTTCAATCTCTTATTTACTAAGAGACATTACTGAACCAGGTACCTTGACAAGTTCAGTTTTCTCTGAATTGGAGAGAAAGCTTGGAAAAGTGAGTCAGCTAACAAAAAGAAACAAATAGAAACAAGATTCACATAAGCTGTTCTGAAGCTCTTCAGAAGAGGAACACCCAGATTTCAAGTACCCCATCCCATTTTAGATGTATTTCAAACTGAAGATACAGATAATTAACTAAGGGAATCTCTCGGAAGACATTTACAGACACATTTAAAAGTGAAGATGACAACAGAGAATATAAACTAAAGCAAAACTGTTAGGTGAACAACAGCACAACCAACTATAAAGCAGATATTAATTAAAAAGAGAGATGATTCCATGAAGCAACTTAAACATATTAAATCCCATGCAATATGTAATCACTTTGGAGATCAGAGATATTTTAAAGTGTGTGCACATTTAATTTCAATTACTGTAACTACATTTTAGCTCGGCTAACATTTTAAGTTTACTGGATGAGGACATGAATTCTTCTGTTAAATAATTCCAAATCATTGACACATGAAACAGTGTGCAAGCACAGTCAGAAAAGTAAATAAATAACATGTAAAAATTCCATAAATTTTATTTCATCACTGAATGCTTTCCTGAAGAAAACCATATTTTAAAAGATACTAGCAAGCCAAAATAATTTAAAATGTCCACTCCTTTCCCAGACAGTGGGGACTGTCTTTTACTGGTAACAATCTCCAATTGATTGTTCCCACATTTTGTTCTACTCCTGCAGAACATCATGAGAATTACTATTTTACAATTTTAGAAGAAAAGCAGCAGCATCTTTAGTCAAGTGTACATTACACCATTCCACTGGCTATAACATTCTGTAAAGAGGAGTTAATCTGACTATTCAAGTGACTTTATGCCACAGAATGAACTGTAACAAACCTAATACAAAGTAGTTTGATCACACATTTTAAAAAATGCTACAAGACAAGCTTACACTTTGTCTTGCCGTCCACCTCCACGCAGCGCAACTGGCTGGCTGTTCTGAGTGAACGCACCTCCACCACGAATTGCACTTGGATGAGTTGGAGAAGCCGCTGGATGCTGGCCAGGGCGGATAGGCTTAGCTGCATGACAAGAAATGTGACTTACAAATATATACACAACAATACCTTGGATTATTAAAATTTACTGATATCACTAACCAAATGTAATAATCACAACTGAATGCACTTTGAATAAGAAAACAAGTTTATAGGGGATGGCATTCTGAGAACATAACAGATTAGTGTCATCAACAACAAACCCTAGAAAACAGACAAGGTTTTGCTTTTATTGTTCCCTGTTAAAGCTCACAACGTTTCTGATAAAGACTATCTTCAAAACAATTACCTGGCCCACCTAATGTATTGCCTTCTATGAATCCTATTTTTTGGCAATAAGAACTCAAATAAGACAACACTAGACAGTTCCCTGAGAGTTATGTATCAGTAAGGAATCATTATACTTGCTGTCCTTCCCACATCTACTTGATGGATGAAGTCACTAGTTACTCTCTGCAGGTGGTTCTGTGTACCAGCACTCCACAGATAACATTACTTCATCAACCAACCACCACATGAATATAAACCTTGCTCTATAGCCAAAGTAAAAATTTAGCAGTTTCGACAGGTCGTTCATAAACTGCATACACTTAACAAACTGTAGTTTCAATCAGTTTTGCACTTGGCTCTTAACAGAACACGCATAATGTATGTGTAGGACTTCACAAACTTCTGTAATATTAAAGAGAAGCACTCAAAGTTTCAGTAGGTAAAAAAGAACCTACAGGCAGCAGCTGCAGCAAAGAAACACTTCTCAATTACTGCCTTATAGGAAGCTGATCTCCAGGAAGACATGACTAGTTCATTTAGACATTTAATCACAAGTGGCTGTATACCTCAGGTAAGCTCACCAGAGAATTGTTTGTTTTCTTGAAGACTGCTTGAGAGAAAATTATGACAGAAAAGTGCCTGCAAGCTGCCACTTCATGGGACAAAAAAATTATAACTATTTTGCAACAGCTCTTTGCAGACCTGCAGAGTATGAGCAAAATTTAACTGCAATGCTCATTTCAGCCGCATTAACATTTAAGAGAAGTGTATTGATGACTGAACTCGTTTGGTTCTGCAGCTGTAGTGTAATGTGCACAGTCCTCCACAGGTCACACACCTTCTCGATCCTCAGCACCCGACAGAGTAATGGCAGGTGGAGGAGCAAAGGAATATGACTATTTTGTCCCCACCTTCCCACTCCTGTTTTTCTGTTATTTTCTCCTAGAGAGGGCTGTGGATACTGTATCTTTCGGAACCAATAACCAAAAAGGTAACTAAAGATCTCAGGATATTGTGCATTTCTATCTGCCCCTCTGCCCCGGCAGATCAGGTCAATGATGTTGTTGAAGGTGACAGCTTAGTCTTTCTTGTTGCCTTGAAATACCTATTCACTCTTAGAAATTTGAATGATCTAAGAGATTAAGACTCACATGCAGTATGCTGTTTCTTCTACGAAATCTAACATATTCAGGCCAGAATCCAAGCTTGGTGAGCCTTTTCCAAAGCCATTGATAATAAATACAAAGCCAAACAACCTTTAAGTACCACCTCCATACACAGTCTGTAAACCAGAATATACCCCACAGTAGAAAATAGATCACATTGATATGTGCACCTTCAATGAGGGCTGAAAGATGCACATATGCAAAAACAAACAAAAACAAAGTAGAAGACAGATGAAGCTTTAGGGGGGGGCAAGGGAGTCTTTACTTACCAATTTGAGCTGAATGTCCTCTTCTGGCCATATTCTTGGATCTTACAGCTTCCTTTATACGATCCACTTCTTGCTGATACCGCTTGCGATCACGAGAAGCGTTCTCTTTGGCTTCCTTCAGTGCAGATTCCAAGGCTTTCACTCTTTCAGCTGTAGCTCTAAGTCGCTTCTCCAGTTTAGGAAGTTCACAGCGAAGATCAGCATTATCACGTACCAGCTACAAAACCAGAAGTGATTATTTTCTTGGTATCTCTATAGGGAGAGCTAACTAAATATCCTCCCCACCCCTAAAGAGCTAAAGCAGTAGGGTTACTATAGTTTTGTTTAAGCTTTTAGTAAATCTCTGGAGGTCAGTGACATTGAGACTGTCATTTGAAAATCAGTTACTGGGGAAGAACTTGCTACCCAACAGAGGCACTTCTTCCATCAGACAGGCAAGCAGTCCCTAGACTCATATATGAAGTCTAAACACAAACTTGGATCCCTTTCAGTTTAAGTGCAGCTATTTTGTTATACACCCACATAAAACAGCTAATTAATTTATGTTACAAAATAATAAAAACTAAAGTTTTCCTGTATCAAGAGACACACTTAAGATGTGGAAGTATTTACTTATAAAAGTTACTTTATGACCAATAGGCAATTGCTTCTGTAATAATGGATTTGAAGTAGTTTTATTAAAATTTGAAATGAAGTCTCATTGTACCTGCTTGTGAACCTTTGTAAGCTGTTCAAGATTATTCTCAAGGAAGGAAATCTTCTGTTTCTGTGCAGCACTGCCTCCTGTATCATCTGAGTCGATCTCAGCACTCTGCAGTAACAAAGGCATGGAGAGGGAGACAGGAGGATGAGCACAAACCTGAACTTGAATATTAAGATCAAGCCATAAAAATTAAACCAAATAAACAATCCTGTAGTTCCTAATTTAGTTCTGAACTGAAATTCATACAGTATTCTCAGAAACAACAAGTTTAACTACAGCACATTACCTTTTTCACTCTAGTAGCCAGATCTTGAACAAACAGCTTCCGAAGATTGTGAAGAGTCTGAAGTTCTTTTGCCTACAGTTAACGACAAGAAATTAACAAAACAACCCAAACAAACTCTGAAAGAAAAAAAAAAAAGAGACAAATATTGACATTTGCCTTGGAATATATTCTATCTTACCACAGTCTCTTCCAAACCCTTTAAATCTTGCCTCGCTTGTTCCCGTCTGTCCTGCATAACCCTAAAAAAGAATAAATTATTCCTGAAATATCCTAGAAAAATTAGAATTCTGTTTTAGAGGACTAGAGTAATAAACACTGTATGGTACAAATAAAAAAAAGCCTTTTTGTTGAAGTCTTAAATTAAAGATAACAACCAGTAGATGACACTCAGAAATCCGTACAACATGAGGGTGGTGGGACTGGGAGACTTACAAAAGGAAAAGAGGGACATACTTTTAATATTGAATATAAAACAATATATTCAGATGAATAAATTATAAAAGTTTCTAGATTAGTAAAAGACAAGACTCAGAGTCAGCTTTGGAGTGAATATTTGGGGACATTTTATCTTACAAATGTTCTTAGCTCTGACCAGACAAGATGACAAGTATCATTTGTCAGATTAAAAATTTTCTCTTTGTTTTTTTTAACACCTTAGCCTCAACACGTTGGCAAAACCAGCATCGTGAACAACCATGTCAGTATACAGGAATATAACCTGATTGTTATCAGTGTACAGAGCTGCTGTCTTGCCAGTTAATGTGAAAGCATTTTCTGCACAGGAAATGTTTGCAGAACTCTAAGTCAGTGCAGTTATCAAGATGACAGAATATAGGAAAGGAATGTGGACTTTTCTTTTTATGACCTGAGATTAGAATAGAGGCCAAGGACTGCACAAAAATGAAGTGTTCTTGTTAAGTAGTTAAAAGAAGCATCTTTTCCTCTTGACATTTCTCCTACTAGTTTCCCTAGTAGTTCACTGTTAAACAAGCAAAGATTTGATCTAATGAAATATTCTAAATAATGTCACTATCCTATCCATTTTCCAGATGTCTCTGGATAAGTAGTTCCAGGCTTCTTATAGAACTTCAAACTGAAAAAAAATTGTAGTGAATAATCTGTATTGCTCCTGATCTGTCATTTGCCATGCACATTTATGATATTCAGTGGAAAATGACTGGATTCAAAAAGGCTAGGGGAGCATGCAGAACAAAAAACTAATTTTTAAAACGTCTCTGCAAATCCTTTGAAGAGGAACATTCCTATACAGCAAGTGTTTTAAAGTGGTCAATGCTAGATGTACCTGAGCCTGCAAACTGAAATAGAAAGCAATAATGTGTTATATATAGTAAATTTTACAAGACAAGAAAATCTATTGTAGCTAATGTAAGTTTTACAATCATTGAGGTATATAAATAAATTAAAGTAAGTTGGATTCACAAGACCAGAGCACTGTTAAAACTTTAGTCAGTTAAACAGGATAAATAAAAAAAAGGTTAAAAAAAAAAATAAAGGCAAACATTGCTTCTTAGTTACCAGTCAGGTCCCTCTGATTACTTCAAACTCTACGATAAAAGCCCCTGAAAACTACTGTGTGTGTTTTAAACATAGCCAAATATCACTTTTTAAAAAGTACTTTTAAGTATAATGTATTTTTAGCTTCTGTAAAGATAAATTTGTATGTGCCAGAAAGGGGTTACAATTTATACACTTAGAAAGATTTCCAGGAGATTAACGTCGGATTTCTAGAGGCTGAGAACTGTTTTCAAGCTTGACTTGAATACTTACCTGCAATCAGAATGCAATTCCATTTTTACACTAACTTTTGAGTCTCTAATTCACTAAAGCATTGTATTTAGTTAATCAATGAAGCATGCAACTGTTTAAGAATAAACCAATTAGAGCCACCTAACAAGTTAAATCATGTAAGAACTATAAAAAGAATAAGGGAACAGAAGAAGCAGAAAAAGAGCTCAGGGGAATTGTTAGAAGGGTCTTGCAGTATTACAGAATGCAATACTTGGCTGCAAATTTAAAAGTTAATTACTCTAATCCATAGCATAATAACAAAAAGACAGTTGTGGCCTTCATATCTTTCATAATTTTACTTCCTGTTTTAAGTATTTACACAGTGCAAAGGTTTTAAAAAAGGTTCAAGAAGGCCTCTTCAACAAACATACAATAAGGTGAGATGCGCTGCAACATATTAGGCCACTAGTTTATAAGGTATGTCTTCCCCACACACATTTGTAATGCATCCTTATCACTTACGTAAGCTCATGAAGTTTCCTGCTTTTTTCCTGATCAGTTGCCTTCAGCTTCTCATGCTCAACTCTCAGACGCTCCTGTTCAAGCATCATCTTCTGGTTTTGGCTAAACACAGAAAGTAAATATTTTCTCAGCTGAAACGCTCAGACAGCATACTCAGTAACAAAATGGAAGACAGGAGGATGGTTCTGGAGGAAACTCTCACCACATCCTTCCACTGTACTGTCCTTCTGTACTTGCACAGTCCAGAGACATTTGGCACCACTAAAATAATGACAAGTACTTACTCTTGAAGCTCAGTGATGAGCTTCTCCTTTGCATCAACTTCATCCCTCAGGCTACTGATTTGTTTCTGATGCGTCTCACGATGGCTCTGAATTTGCTGCTCCACAGCTTGCTATAAGAAGAAACCAGAACATATTAAATGCTCTGAGTTACCACCAGACTACACTCTGTAGGGATTTGGATTGTTAGGGTTTTCTTATTTTTTAATAAAACTGACTTACCTTAACTTCATTTGCAGTTTGAACCTTATTTAAGTGCTCTTTCTCCATCTCATGGACTTTTTCTAGAAAGGACAGAGAACAAAAAACACATTTCAGCCAGCTATCTACACAATCACATGCATGATGGCAGTAATTCCCCCTTCCCTTGCCAACACCTTAAGATTTGGAAAAAGTCCCCTCCCACCACAAAGATTAATTAAATTAGTAACATCTTTAATCCTATTAATAACAGTTCTTTCAAACAGCCAACATGTTTTACCACAGATTAATTCCACATGTTCTGTAGCAAAAAGCCTTCCTATAGTTCTACCTTTCAACCTAAACAGAACAGAGCAAGTCCCTATTTATCACTGTATTGTTAAAATGGTGGTGCTATAGGGAGGCCAGTCCTACCCTGGGCTCGGAGTTGAACTAATTCTTCATTAAGGGAGTCCACAGATTCTTCCAGCTGCCTCTTTTTCTGTTCCACATTCTGAAGATATTCAGTCAGTGACTTGATCTTGGCTTCATGCTTGTGGAATGAAAAGATTCATTTGCTTTGGAACTAGGTACCATGGAATTACATCTGCATTAACAGTTCATACTTATTTTTCACACAACAACTAACCTCATCTCAAAACAAAAATGGTGCCAACTAGACTCTGAGAAGAATATGACTACTCAAGTAGATCTGTAACATAGCCTTTAAGACAATGTCTTTATTCTGGATTGGAATGAAATACATTTTTGGCTGGGAGATGTTTTGACTAACAAAGGCAAAAGAGGCCCCTGTATTTAGAAGATTGCCCTGAAACGTGCATCTCCTGATGTTAAAAAAGATTATTATGTGTATGAAAAACAAAATAGAGAAATGTTAAACTACATATCTAGATTACAGTTTTCAAAAGTGCTAGAAATCACATTACTTTTCTAACAATCACATTAAAATGGCCTTTCTCACATTAGAAATAAATTTAATCTGCTATGCAAACTTCCTGAAATTTTACTCTATTACCTCTCCCACTTCCAGCTTGGGGCATTAGCAGGCAGAGTGCCCACTAGCAACTGCTTCTGTAAGACTTGTATTTGTAAAGAACCCTGTGATGGAGAACACATGGGCTCCAGTATTTAATACCAGTGCTACAAAAGCACTAGCAGGCTACAGATATATTGCAGAAATTCTGACATCCTGTCACACTGAATTACTTAGAAGCATCCAATCTGATGAGAGTACTAAAGAAACAGCCGAGTCTTATGGCTGTTCACTCCCTGTGCTTTGTTAGGTGCCAAAAAAACCCTGCAACTTTTTTTCCCCTGACAGGTTAATGAATTTAATTTATAAAGAACACTGTACACTGTAGAGAAATATTTACCTGTGAGATTCGGAGCTGGCAGGCAGCCAACTCCTTTTCATTTTCTTCCATTTTCTTATTGCTTTCAGCTTGTGTGCCTTCTAACTGTTTGCAACGTTTCACCATTGTTTTTACTTCTGATTTCATTTTGCTAATGTACAGTCTTGCAACTGTGAATTCTTCATCTATCATGCCAGTTCCCTCAGGCTGCTGAAAAGGGTGGAATAGCACATTAGAAACCTCAGATAACAAAAGCGAACTAACAGTGCATGGGAGCATTTTAATGGCTAGAATACATCCCCCAGCCTCAACTGATAAACACAGAACTTAAAAAAAAAACAAAACCAAAAACACCTTTTGGTGTTAGATACATTTTGGTATCTAGGTTTTCTGATTGATTATTTAGAAGTTTGCATAAAGACAATGCTTGAAGAAGGAAATACAATTCACTATTGATTTCTAATACTGCTTACATTCTTGCCCTATGGCCATCTTCTAGACTTCTTTTATTTCATGTCCTCATCCTGTTTTTAATAAAAGTATCATCCCAATCGTCACTGTAGGTCAATATTAGATTTCCAACTGTTGATTAAGACCACTTCATACAGCAGTTTGATAACATGAATGAGAACATTGCTTCAGACAAAAAAATCATGCCTGCTCTTCCTTGTCTATGAATAATCAAATTCTATCTGAGACCTGATTAATTCACAATATAAGAAATGGAGAAGCTTGTGTCCAAATTATTAACATACATAAAGCTTCCTATGGTGATAATTTTTACCATACTAAGAAAATGCCCCCACCTATCCACAATGTATGTGTTTAATACATTATTTCCTACTGCAATTCCAATCTCTGCAAGATCTTTTAGTAAGGAGGCCATCATTTCTGTTGCTCGTTTCTTCTGATGGTTGGTCATTTCCTTAAGTTTCTGAAGCTCTGCATCTATACTGGCTAAAGTGACCTATAGTAAAAGTTACCCTTGGTTAAACAAAACACATTCTTGTTCTTGGAACTAGTTCCATACTATTTATAGAGCACTAACATTTCTTCTGAAAGAACTAAAAAGTACTGGGGACAGAGGCCTTCAACTCACAAAATACCATCTTAAAACTCTGCAGCAAAATTAGTGTTAACATTGTTAAACAACATTAAGAGTTATATGCAATAAAATATTGCAGGGAATCACATTTGTAGAAAAAAGGAACATGGACAGCAAGTTCAACAGTTCTCACCACATTTTGATAAATGAAAACAATTTCACCTTTATCTGCAGAGCTCTTAACTCTTCCCTACTTGCAAATCAAAAAATGAGAATACTCTCCCAGTACTGAGATTTCACAAGCACAATGTTCTTGAGCACTTTTTCAGCTGGTTTGAGCTGCTGTGGTTGTAGTAGCTGCAGCTCAGCAGCTCACATGCGCAAGAGTCTGCTTATTTGTTGTCCAGTTTTAAAAAAACACCAGCAGTTTTACAGCAGGAAAGATTCAGGCAGAGATGCCAAAGGATAGTTATTGCATGAGTTAGCCATTAGTGCCAGATTGAGATGTCTTAATTTTATGACACCTCTGAACAGTTGCTTTCTTTCAAATTGAGTTATTCATGACACTCAATGGACATTAGTTACACTATCTAGAATCACTACGTATAATTAAAAAGTACATCAATAAAGCAAACAAAAAAGCCCCGGAAAAAACAAACCATACACTTCCACATACACTCCAACAGATTTGAAATGCCACTTTTAAGACCATAGATTCTCTGACTTTTGGCCAACCTTCAAGTGATACAAGTTACCAGTAAAGATTACTCAGCTCAGAATACTCAGAAGTTTAATAAGAAGTTTCATGATCTTGTGAACTTCTATTACTAGTGTTCTACCAAGTCATATCTTAGTAGCTGAAAACTGAAAGCCACAGTCACTAGAAGACCCAGACCCTCATATTATCATCTTCAAGAACAGAGAACAGTGAGACTTGTGCTGTTAGTATTGTCTGCATTGCCAGCAAACATGCCGATCCTTTCCAGTACTTAGAATTTTAGGATACTGGGTAGAGTATTAACTGCTTACAACTGATTGAGGTCTGCCAAATAACTGGCTACCAAACCTGTCGGTCAGTTCAGAAACTTGGCAAGTATGTAAGGAGGTTCACAGTATTCTGTGAGACTGCTGCTGCATCTGTATTTTAATCAGTGTTATCTTTTGGAATGCATCCTGAACTACTTTCAGAAAGTAAATCAAACTGCTTATTTTTGGAGGCATCAAGGTAAGTTATCTCACACTCCATACACACAGCAGGCAAATACACACTCCTTTCAAGAAAAGCTATAGCATGCTCATTGCAACTTCAAGATTGGGAGAAGCAGATTTTTAAGTCAGGATTTCCCCAACTGCACCAGAAAGACAAATGAAACCAGAATGTAATCAAAGTGCTATGTTTTGCTACCCAGGATATTTCTGAACACTCCTCAGGCAGTAAAAATGCTACTAGAAAGATGGCACTAAAAAGACAAGTGCTATCCAGGACAACAATCACTGTGTGTGTTTTCTTAAATTTACAGGTTTTATAAAATCATTCCCCAAAAAATGAAAAAGTTTTAGACTTAGGCTCTCATTTTCCCTTGTGAAATACTTTCAAATAACTAAGAAATATGAGCAAGGCAAGCAAAGTCACACTGAAGATTGTCAGTAATTTCTTATCCCAATTTCATACCGATTTTTGATTGAGTTCGTCACTAAGCAGCTCATATTCCTTTGCCTTATCTTCTACTTCCTGAGACTTCTGATCATAGTTGACAGCTAATTCTTCAAGGGCTTGTAACACCTCTTTCACTTCCTCTTTAGAAGCATCATTTTCAGCCTGAAGGCGATTCAACTCTGCTTGCAGGTTGTCTTGGTCCCGTCTGGTTGATGCCAGAAGCTGCAATATTGGTAGCGATTTAATAAAAATGCAACAATAAATAAACATGAAGAAAATTCCACGCATATCTTGAATTTTATTAATGCTTCTAGCTACTACAATAGCTTTTATCTGCATTCCTAGTGACTAGCTTCATGCAATAAGAATACTAAGAATAGAATACAATGAACAGCTAAATTTACCATCCATATTCACAGGTCTTTAAGTTTTTAAATATCTTCAAAATGGAAGAGATTACAATTAAAGACATATAGGGATAGAAACTAGAAATGCACATTGAATATTGCAAGTTCACAAGAAAGCCACTGAACACTACTCATGAGTCTGAAATTGTCAACAGTCTAGGAACTAAACTTCCAGCATTTTAACTCTGTTAGCTGCTGAAGAATAACTAGACAAAGGGTACAATTGCTAAAAAAGCAGATTTATTTATTTAAATTAGGTTCAATGGTAGCTCCAGCTTCCTAGTCCTTGGCCCATTTCTTTCTGAACACGTACACAAAGATAACCATTTCTTTAAATATTTGTGTTATAGAGAAATAATTTTTCTTATGTTTTAGCTAAATGAAATTTTCATTATTAATATGAATTTCCCCCCATTATTTTATATCCCTGGCAACATATACATGCAAATAAATAGAATATTCTAGCAAGTATGGTCTGAATTTACACATACTTCTTTTTTTTCATTATGGGCCAATACATTCCCCTCCTCTCTCATGTCTCTCTGTATAGAAACTGACCCAAAGTAGACTTCAAAAAAGATTTTTTACATTAAATCAAGTTACCTTCAGTTTTGACAATCAGCTAACTTTGCATAGAGAAGACAATTGCTGCTGTCTTTGCAAAAAATATTTTCAATCTTCATGGATACTTAAGATCCAAGTAAACTGGTTTCAGTTTGGCCATCAGCACAGTGTAAGTGGGAGGAATGAACAGGCAGAACATTTAGATAAGGCATAGAAAAGAACTATTGTGCAGTAGTAAGCTGTCATTCTACTCCCTTGTCATAAACTGCGACCTATTTCAAATACCTTCAATTTCTTTAAAGGAAAGACAAATGAAAATAAAATAAAGGTGCAAGAGCAAAACTCACCTCTTCCTGATCCAACATCTGTGTCTTCAGTTTTTCTACTAGTTGACTCTGCTGATTAATTTCTTCATCCTGCAGTTGAAATAAGGTTGTTTATTAAACTGACAAATACCACTCACAAAAAATAATTTAACTTTTCCCTATTCCGAGATAATTATACAACAAGGCAATAAAAGTAAAAAACAATCATTTTCATTTCACTGGTTGATTCAATAGGCTCTTAACCTGCCATGCACCTGTAATACACCACACTTCAGAGACAAAAGTCTTATACCTGTGCTTTTGCAAGTCTTCTCCAAGTTGTTCTAACTTCCAAGAAATAATTAATAATGAAAAGATTTTTCTGTTTAAATACAGTAATACTGCTTAAAATTGAGATTATTTATTTCAAATAAAATATCCAAAACATGGAAAGAAAAAAAATTTTTCTTCAAATGACTCATTTTCCCACATCCATTTTTTTCCAACTAATAAACTATACTCCCTTTGTACTAGATAAGGCAACTGATTTCTCTTAATCAGAATTAAGAGGAAGCACTCTCAGTAAATACTTAAACTGAGCTAACAAATGAACACTGGCACATTAAATCCAGAGTCACAGAATAAGCTGAGCTGGAAGGGACCCATCAGGATCATCAAATCCAATTCTCAGCCCTGTGCAGGACACCCCAAGAGTCACACCCTGTGCCTGAGAACATTGTCCAAAGGCTTTTGTAGCTCTGTCAGGCTCAGTGCTGTGACCATGTCCCTGGGGAGCCTGTACCAATGCTCAACTTCCCTCTGGATGGAGAAACTTTTCTAATATACAAATTAAACCTCCACTGATACAACTTCAGGCCATTCCCTTGGGTCACAAGAGTGAAGAGATCTGTATCTGCCCCATGGCTTTTCCTCCTGAGGATGCTGAGGACATATTACACAGTAATATAGCTCAAAATATACTTTTAAGAGATCTTACATTAAGTAAGAATGGCATACCTTGTCATCCAGTTGTTTGTAAAGTTTGGCAATTTCTTCCTCACATTTCCTTCTCTCAGCATCAGTGAAATTGCCAGTTACTCCAATTGTGGTAGCTGGTTTATCATTAATAACAGTAATATCCTTGTCCACTGCAAAAGCTTCTAAGTTGGCCTTCTCCTTGTCAAACTGTTCATCAACTGGTACAGTCTCCCCTTAAAAGTACACTTAAATTTAGTATAGTTCACCATGACATATTTCCCACAAAATTACCCTTGAGAAGTATTACATATTTTCTACTAAAAATATTACAGTTAATAAGCAGTTGAGTTCAGCTGATTACTTGGTAAAAATAAAAAAGACCACTAGATCATCCAAACTATTTCCTGCTTACCACAAAAGACTATTTTGTCCAGTTACTCTGCTATGAGCTCAAAATTACACATCAAATCTTATCTTCTAAAAAATCACCTAACTTTCCCAGAAGACAAAAAAATATCTCTTTCCCTTGGCACTGTTTTACTAGGCAGCCATATTTACTTCTACATTGCTTTGCTTCTGATGTAAAATATTTTCAGCTACACTTTTATCCTTTTATGTTCATAACGCTTTTTCTGATGAGAACACTAACTTCACAGAGAAGAAGACACTTGCCAAGGTACTTCTCTGGTAAATTAAACTAAATTCCTTAGTGTTTTATTCAAAACATTTTATGCAGTCCTTGGAAGGTACAGGGTCTTTCCAACTGTCCAGTATCTCACGTTAAGTCTAGTTCTTTCAGAATATTGACATTTCAGGTGTGGCCTCATACCAGCCCTACGAAACAATAAAAAAACCCAACAAAACAAAACAAACAAACCCACATCCTACCAAACCTATTTCAGCAAATCCATTTTTTTCAGATTCGTATCAGGATGTGGTGCAGTTGTCTACAAGATTGCAAAATCATCCTCTACAGCTGCCAAACTCCAAAATATATCTGTATGACCTATGTTCTCTTTTCTGAATTTATGGCTTCGTTATTAACTTGCATTTTGCCAGCAGCTTGAACTGATAAGAAGTTAATCATTCAGGAAGAATTAACAGGCAGACATTTTGTACTGTCAGCAACTTTGGGGTTTGGGTGGGTTTTTGTCTGTTCACATGTTTGAGTTTTAAATGAGGGCAAGATCTTGTGATATCATTTTGATATCACAAACCAAAAGCGAAGGAAACATTTTACATAGTTTCTGCACTTACAAATAATATCGGTTTTTTTGTCCCCCAAAATAAATTTTTTTACAGTGTATGTAACTCTAGTCCTGCTAGAAAACCAAGTTTTGAACAATCTAACAGGAATATACTTTCAGATACTTTTGTCATAACATGATTATTAGAAGTTATTTCAGTTGCAATAAAATGGAAAATATCATATTCCAAAGTTGACTTAATACTATAGCTTTAATATCCTTATTACGGCCTTGAGTAGTGCTCTTAACTATTTCTGGTAGCCTGAAGACTAACTCAGGGTGTGTTGTCTTGCTGAAGTTTGCAGAATAATAATATTACTGCTTCTTACCGTTCCTCCATCTGTTGAGCTCATTTTCCAGCCACTGTATGGTGTTACGCAGAGTCTTGTTTTTCTCTTTTTCCTTCTCATACTTTTTCTTCCACTGTTCTGCAGTGAGCTCCACATTGACACAGACTGTGTTCTTAATGGTCTTTGCTCTACACAGAGAAATCAAAAAGCTCTGAAACTTCATTTTCAAAGAAAGGAATTAAAGGTTACTAAATAATATGTTCACATATCACTAGTGAAAGCATGAACTTTCCCATCTCTTCCAAAACCTTATTTCTATTCCCTGACAAGTTACTATTCTTTCAATTGTATTGATACAACTTCAAAAAGGACAGAGCAACACAGCTTTTGGAAAGCTGAGAAATCTCAAGCTGAGTTGGAAAAATTAAGCTGCACACCTTCACCTGAAAGAACTGAGGTCAGGAGAGTTGTGCACAGTTTTGAACAAAGGATAGTGTTCCACATCTAGCAAACACTGTCCAGTGGAGATGATAACACTTCTAGCATGCAAACCATCCAGCTTATCTAAGAAACAGCTCATTTCAACCAAAAAGTCCAGTTACTGTATCTCCACTAACCAAAAAGGTGTTACAAGCTACTTAGATAATGGCAGATATGAGTTTCTACGTTCAGGTAAATGCCATTAAGTTAAGCTTGGAGATAAAACTACAGGCACTGGTAACATAATCATGAAGCAATATATGGTGCTCCTTCCATACCTCACTTATCTCAGTAGTTTTCTCGTCTGCTCTTCTACTACTGAATATCCCACTCCAAAAGTCAGAACAGGAAAAAACTCAATGGCAGTTAAGTATCTCCCTTGCCCTGTATTGACTTCAAAATCTTAGGGAGACTTTACTACTAAAAGAGATATGATTTTCTACTATATTATATGACTATTATATACCCTTCAGTTACTACAGCTGAGGGTTTCAGCATAAATTTGACATCCCTAGAAAGCTGAGTTAGTATACTGGATTAACTGTGGTGGCTTAGATATGACTGCACTCTGTTAACTCCTGAAGACATCAAGAACGCAAGGCAGTGAAACTACATAGCTGAAGCTAGAAGACATTTTCTAGTAGCTCATTCACTAAATAATAAAAGACCTACCTTCTAAAAGGAAACCAAAAACCTCCGCTGTTGCAGACTGGAGTCTTTACTCCACTCTCATTAACTATTCATATTCTGCCAGATTTCTAATCTGGTCTATTTTCCATAATATGAAACTTCTCAGAGAAGACCAGTAGGAAACTATCTTGTTGAATTGAAGTGGAAGAAGTACACTAACATCAAAGACCAGATGGACTAGCAAAACATTGACTGTTTTTGTAATATGCTCCACTAAATGATGTGATTCAACCTAGTGGTCAAGAACTGGAGTATTACAAAACAACAACAATAACAAAAGTGGTAAGGAAGAGCTACTTAACTAAATACTTCACTGGAAATGAGAATGTATAAATTCAGTTACAAATGTCACAGGAATTTACAAGTATCATTTCTAAGTTTACTGGACTGTTAGATACAGACCAGAGGACAGGCTGTTCTAGCAAATAAGGGATTCAACTTAGCAGGGGAAAGCTCCTTCCTACCTTCTTCTACTTTAGGGAGGGCAGGGGACAGGGAAGTACTTACAGCCTCCCAAAATTACACATTAAACCACATTTTGAACCAAATTATATGCTTCTCCTGAAAATACAGTCTTCAGGACCCTGGCTGGTTTAAGGATTTTTAATTTTTAATAAGGATCTATACTATAATATAAAGTAGATCACAACACTTAGCCATATATACCCTGAAGAATTACAGAAACAGCAATCATTCTAATTAATTTGGTTCAGGAATCTTAATAGAGTACCTTATGATTTCTCATTCTGCACTTATTCCTATTAAGTCATTTACTCACCTTTGGCCAAACAGAAGAGTGGATTTAGTTTCAGATTCATTGTAAGAAGATGGAGAACAGCAAATAACAATAGTGGTTCTGCAATTACCCCCTAGTGAATCTTGAAGGATTCTGGTCATTTTGCTATCACGATATGGAACATATGTCTACCAAGAAAAAAGTTACATGATCAATCATGGGTTTCCAGAAATTTAATTTGTTGAAATATGAACACTTTTGCTAGGTATGACCTTATTAGAAAGACATTAAATTCTACTTTAATTCATAAATCATAAGACTGAAGATTCATGGGATGACAAAATTGTATTTCTAAGTTTGATAACTTTTAGAGCACAAGGAAACTTTCAGTATGATGTTTGGGTCCCTCAGCATTAAATGTAACTTATTAATCTTTACTGTTGAAACAGTACAAGAGTAATGGCCACCTGCAATGCACTGGCTCATATCACTGAGATTGGTAAGAATTTCTGCATAATATGGTCAGAGATGCAAACCTTTAACCCTTAAGTATAAAAAGACAAAAGAGAGCACTTACACTGCTTTCAGCCAGTGCTGAGATGACATTTCCAAGAGCAGACAAAGACTTGTTGATGTTCTTGGCCTCATCCAGCACAGCACCCTCTGCTCCAGTTTTACTAACCTATACAATATTTCAGGACATTACTAAATGCATCTTCAAAAAATGCCTTCAACATTTAAGAGAAAACTTAGGTAATTTCTCCACTTACAAGTCATTCTCCACAGCTTTATGAGGTACACACAAGCAAACACTTTCTCAGACTCTTTTCCCAACTCATTATCAATTTCTTATTCAAAACTCAGTATGTCAAGACATTTCTCATTTTTTTAACAGAACTAAATATTCTCCCTACAAAGTACACCTTTTTGTAGCAGATAAATGTATAGTTAATAACTTCTGTCAAATTAACAACTACAAAAGTTTTTTGAAGTCTGTAAAAAAAGACTGAACTCCTTAAAAGTAAAATAAGCATTATGAACAGTTTGTCCATAGATCATCCTTAAAACCAAACTACCTCTCCCGGTTAAAAGCCCTAACAAAGCAAACCATACAACCAAACCACATACCACTACTATCCCTGGAAAATACAGCAGAAAATCTTCACAAGCAGAAATCTGTGAGAACAGATTTTAGAGGCTGAATCTGACCTACATGAATGCTCTAGGAACTTAAATAGGTATCAGCAGAAACATGAAAAAAATGTGACCTGATGCTATTCAATTTACCTTACCTCTTTTGCCTCAAGGACTGAATTTGAATTACAGTTCTATAATCCTCCCTTTACTGTTTCCACCAAGCTATGACCATAACTACAATTAAACAATTCTACTTTCCTGTGTTTAAACTAACACAAGGCATTAGAAACTCCATGTATTTCAAAGCAACTGGGGAAATGCACCAAAGTAAAGTTTGAAACAAACACGTAAAGGAACTACAGAGAAAGGAGACCTGCAACCCAGCCCTTTTCTTTGAAAGAAAAAAAGACTGACTAAAGAAACACATTTCAGAATAAACATAGGATCAGAGACAACAACAAGGTCATAGAACAATGATGTAAGGAAAAACAACAGCAAGCAGAAACTACTGAAAAAACTGGAGACAACAACAGGGATACACAGAAGCAAAGATGAAAAGAATGTCAGAAATCCAGCTCTTAGAAGACTAATTACAGTATCTATTTCCTTCCCTGCTTTAAGCTACCAATATAGGAATGCAAGCTGTCAACCAATGTTAATCAGAATTTCAAATTAACAAGCTTGGTATCACTACATAAGAAAACCCAGATATTCCACAACCATGAAACTTTATTCCTGTACCTGGCTAACCCACACATCTGTAATGCTTTTTTTTTCACACTCCCAGATACTGAAACTGAACTCTGCCCTCTTTCCCCATCTTAGTCCAGATTTACAAACCCTCACTTGCAGAAATGCAGATCAGCTTCAAGTGGTAGTATCTAACAGCCAATTCAGCCTAGGATTCAGAAACCATGTTTCCAAGTGAAAATTAACACACCACAGATGACAACTGAACTATCAGTATTACACAAATGTAAAATACTTGACTGTAAAGAAAAAAGTTTCAGAGCAGAAAAAGAAACTGATAATTACCTTCTCACTACCTGCCAAGTCCACAAGGTAAAGTTTTCCACTTAGTTTCTGTTCCGTTTGAGTATTCTCTTGTTTTACATTAATAAGAAAAATACTATGACTTCGGGAGCTGTGTTCATTCATATCTATAATTCAAAACAAACATGTCAAAAAGATTTTTACAACCACTCTCACTTAAAACAACACCTTCCCACAGTGCAGTGAGAGATCCAAAGCTAATGAAGCTGTATAGTGTAATCTCTCAATGACAGCAGACCTAGAGGCAGCAAAACCAATGGTATCACCTAACTGGGTAAGAAAGATCCAGTTTTCCCTTGGGCTCCTATTAATATCACATAAGTTCACTCATCAGGTTTGCTAGCTTGTCAACCATGGATTTCACACATTAATTTACTTTATTAGAACAAAAAGTATATTTAAGTCTTGATAGGAGAGTCTTTTGTAGACTTCCAGTGTACCTCATTTTATCCTTCTGTGAAAATTTTAACTATCCACAGCTTTTCATCCCTGTGTTGTACTGCCCCCTCTCCTCTGAAACATGAAGAGAAAACAACATCTACATCTTCCCTTGTCTTCTTTAAGACCTCTGTCATTTCCAAGTCCAGCTTTTTGTGGGAATTTGGAAACCTATGACTTGGTTCCTTGCAACCCAGTTGCATGCTACAGCCAAAAATCTTGGGATCTTGGAATGCTGCTTAAATCTGCAGCAGGTCGGAATTCTGATCAGCTGCTCTTAGAATATGTAACAGAATGATCAAACTGTGGATGAGCCACATGACAGATTTCTAGGTTAACTGAAACAAATTCCACATACTGGGATTTTGCACTATTCCTAAAGCAGAACTACACCTCTTTCTCCAGTGATGCATAGTTCCTCACTGATGACTTTCTCCTTTCAATCCTAGTCCAAGAAACATGATTTAACCAGAAATTAACTGAAATACTTGTGTCTGAGACATCCTGAAACTGCTTATGCCAGACCCTTTCAAAAATCTGAATGATTCAGCTCACTATTTGTGCCTTCCCTACTTTTTTAAGGTATACCAGAAACAAATAGATAAATCACTGAAAGGAAACAGAAGATGATTCTTACTTGTAACTGCTACATGACGATTTGATTTTCCTTCATCTATAGTATCCATAACTTCTTCCGGACTACATACAAAACGCTCTGTGCAACCCTTCGGAATAAAAAAGGGGGGGGTTTGTGAAAAATAACACCACATCAACAAGGCACAAGTAAATGGTGCACACTAGAGGAGTGCAAGATGAAAATCCATCAAACTGATGCTCACCTTTACATAGGGAACTCTATTTTTGTCCTCATGAACTGAAAGATTGGTCTTTGAAACTGGAAGAGACAACATTCCAAAGCTAAGGCAAAACTGGATGAAAAGTACTGTGCACAATGCACCCCCAAGTCATAAATGTTACCTCTCAGCCACACTTGACAAAAACTTAACATGTAAGAAAGCACCACCACTGCAGCTTTAGTAATATCATATACATGAGCTCCATGCTTTCCCATTATTATGTACCTTTATCATACAAAGGCTGTTAGCATAATGAATACCTAAGTAACATAGAAGTGTTTTTACTGTGTCCCTCCAGAATAATTTATTTTATACATTTAATATAAATAAAAGTCTTACCATCCAAAAGGTCCCTTATTTTATCCAAGTATATTTCAAAATATGACACCTATAGGAGGAAAAGAGATACATCAGAAGGCAAAAATTCTTCTTGATCACAAAGATTCAGAACAATCCTCCCACATAACACTACATCCAGCTCAAGTTCTTAAGAACTAAAATACACCTTTAAAAAGTTACTGTTTTGATCAGAAGTTTCCAACACTATCATCATTGCCACAGGTTATCAGCACAGGTTCCATCAATGTTCAATGGAACAAAATTAAAGTGTTAACACAATTCTTCTTTAGGAGAAGATCAGTTACTTCAGTGATAACTCAGGTTATCAGGTTTCCAAGTTATTCCAAGGCATTTGAAACAGATACAAAAAATCCATTTACCCATAGACTACCTCTGAGTTTTAATACAGATTAAAGAAAAAATGAAGAAAAGCTTACCTTAATATGAAACTCAAGATTCTCATCCATAGAGTAAATATAATTAAAAATATCTTGCACTATTCTTGGAATAATGCCCATTCCATCTGGGTCATGAAGCTTCCCCTTGACAGAACAAGATATAACAAAAAATTCATACTCAATCCAGCATTACAAACAGTATTCAAACAAAAAACATCTGGTTCAGGTTGACAGACAAAATGCTGACAGGTATGATGCACTTACTCTATGAAGTAAAGTGAACTATCCATTTAGCCCTAGAATTCCCCAAAAGTGGAAAAAACAGCCTCAGAACTCTCCCAAACTACTACAATCCTAAAATACTGATACTATTCTTGTGCTTCTCATCCTGCTACTGAGGGTGAAAAAAACCCACCCTAATTGCCATTCTCAGTGCCTAAAAAAACATAATGGGGTATCAAAATGTTGCAAGAAGAAAACAAGCAGACATCTTATTTCTACAAAGCAAAGACAATTGTATTGAAAAAGACACGACAGGGACAGCAAGAGAAAATTATTTTAACATTTCTTACTTCCATAGTGTGTGTCTTTCCAGATGATGTTTGCCCATAAGCAAATATGGTACCATTGTATCCCTCAAGTACATCTAAAGGGAAAGAGTATTTTCATTAGTGTTCACTTCCTTCATGCAAGCAGGCAGGTCCTAAAATGCCTGGCAATTTAAATCGCTCAATGTCTGGGAACCTTGTGCTAGAGTTAGGGAGAGGGTGTTCCTCTCTACATCTTTTAACACATTTTGCCATCACTGACTATCTCAGAAGCTGGCTGATTAGAAGCAACTGTTCCTTCAACCAGAAAAATCAGGACTTCACAGTCAGGAACAAAAAGGAAATCAATACAATTGCCAGGCTGATAGTCTTTGATATCTCAGAAGAAACCAAACATGACAACACCTTGTGCCTTCAGAAAACTTTAATTGTCCAATTGTAATGAGAATGGGCAATGCCCTAAGTGTTGAGCATCTTACTCTTAGGCCATAAGGTTCTATTTCAAATTATGAATGAACTAAGCAAAGTTTTAGATTGAGGGGTGAGGGGCTGGTGGGTTGGCTTGTTTACATATAAGTTACTGTAGAATCACATCCTGTAAGCAAACTTTTATTTTCCAAAAACAAGCACGAGGAGATACTCCAAATGGGGAAGTCTCTGCCACTCCATCACACTCATAAATCCATTTGTCTCACCACTAGAGCTCATTTGTCACTTGATGCTGCACAGTTGAGAAATGCCACACAGAGCTCAGAGCTTTACATGGAGAAAAGGGGCCACATCACAATTCTTAGCTAAATTGTTTTCAAGGAGCAAACTTCTGATCTGAGCCTGATTAACATTTAACTCATTAAAGGGTTAAATACTTGCAGCAGCATGAATTTGCCACAGCAATTTACTTTTTTAATAATAAAAAACACAGTATATTTACCTAATATTCTGTTGTCACTAACAGTTGGCATTTCAGGGATTTCTGACAAGGCTTTGTAAAGCTGTTTTGAAAGCTGGGTCAATTAGAACTTATTGATACCCTCAAGAAATAAATCAATTTTATTTTCAGGGAACTAGCTAATTGCTTACTAGAAAAACTTACTGTGGCATATCCTTCTTTGTGACAAGGCTTGATTTTCTGAAGTTACTATGCCAAATCTGAGAATTCAACTATGGAGAAAATGTACACCCTGGCATGCACAGCAGTAACTCATATTTCACAATTTTCATTTCCTCTTGCATTCCTCTAAACAAACTTATGTATCATCTTTTTCACCAGTAAATTTGGGGGGACATGGGAGGGTAGATGACATACCTCAAACTTATTAATAACACTATGATTAATTTCTGACAAATTGTTTTAGATTGTTATTACAGAGAGCTGAAAAAAACCCCCTAAAATGTAACAGGTAAATGTTACCAAATGTTGCAATCAATTGAAACAGAAGGTTAAGTACTGACATAACTTATTAGCTCAATTACAGGATGACTGTATGGTGCTACAATCCATGTGGGCACTTACTAAGCATTCCAAAGATAAAAAGTAGCAATAGAAGTATTACTTTTCAACACTGAAATCCACAGGAATATGAGATTTTCTTATGTTAAATCTGCTCTTCCACCTTACCTTTGACAATCTTTTTAGCACAGTCATTGTATACTTGTTCTTGTGATGTGTTTGACTGGAATACACGGTCAAATATATATGGCTTGGACTGTAAAAAACAAAAAAGAAAAAAAAAGAAGAAAACAGAGTTATCAAAAAATGCTGGAAGTGGAACTGGAAGGTGTTTGTTAATAGTTTATAAGTATTCACCACTGTCTCAGCCCAATCTTCTATTTTAAGCACTTGAAGACTGTAACGAGGAAATCAGCTTAAACAGTGTTGCCTAAATCTTCACACGCTTACTTAAAAGGAAGGTCTTGAATTAAATATGTTTGGTTTCCAAGTATTATCTACATAGTTCTGCAAAACTTCTCTGCCACATGACCTCAAGTTACTTGAATTAAAAAGTAAGCCAATCTGCCTGTACATCTGAGAAACCCCAATTCTCATCTACCCTGGCAGTAGGTTTACTCTGGTAAGCTTGAATCATTAAAAACACCCCATGACACAGTATCTATCTTGATAGTATTTCTTGAAAAAAATCAAGCAAAAAAGAAACATTCAGCACAAACTATTGTGCCATAAAAGATATCTTTAAAATAAAGCTCCCCAAGCAGAAGAAAAGGTGATACTGGGGAAGGGAACCTTTGACAAGAGTAATTTTGGAAAAGACTACATAAGGAAGATCTGATTGAATTTTGAGAGGAATGCTGGTTATTGCTTTGTTTTAGAGAAGAGATTTTCATAATAGTTCTAAGCAGCTGACAATCCATTAGGATATAAATGATTATGCTCATCTTACAAAGCTCAAATTTTTGTAGCACTTTTAGAGCTTGAATTTTTAGGTAATCAGATGGGTGACATTTACAAAGAACCTAGGTCAGTTACTATTGTTAAACTCCCTGCAACTGTTAAGTGTTCCATTCTGCCTAAATTTAATTCATTATCATCCTCCCACAAGGACATTCTGGCAAAGAAACAAGTATGGCTTCCATCTTTCACCCACCCACATTTCCCTTCCCTGGCCTGATCTTTCATTTGTCTTTTAATAATATCTAGTATATCAAACAAAGCTTTTTTAGACTAAACATATTTATCTGAGGCCTTGAAATCAGGTGGATGAGCACCCTCTCAGAAAAATAATTACAGTGTTCACTGTATAAATATGTTCAAGAAACCACAAGACTCAGTAGGCAGAAACTGTCCCTAAGGGGCTGAAGTTTGTCAGAACACTTGTTTCACAGCAGGGAAAACACCACCCTTCTCCATTACTCATTTCAGCTTCAAAGACACCTCAAATCCCTATGTTCTACAGGTAGAATTGAGGCCATTAGATGCACCAGGAGGGAGACAACTAACAAGTTAAGTAACCCTGAGGTAAGAAAATGAAGACTGAGAACACATTACATAAAAAGGAAGATCCTGTAGAAAAGAACTCACTAGCAGCTGTAGCTTCAAAAAGTCTCCAATTTCACAGATATCAATCAGCTACACTACACACTACAAGTCAGCTACATCACAAAACATTAATCAGCTCTGTTTTGTGCTCAAGTGCGTATTTATGTGCACTGAAATAATTCCATTGTGGAACAGAAAATCAAGCTGCAAGGCCTTCACTTTGGCAGTATTGCCTTTAATTGAACTTGTTTATTTATACAGTAAAAGCTGCTAAGCATGTGACCAATTTCAATTTCCCTCAAGTTAACAATTGCTACCAATATACAAAACTTAATAATTTTGGCCAAGAGAATCCTCACATGAGGTCTTGTCAGTTGTCACTTCTCCATCCTTTGCAGGTGGAAAATGGAATATTTGCACACATGCCCTCATTTTTTTATCACACCTATGAAAATCCATATTAGTGGCATGTCCCTCTGCTCCATCATCACTGAATCAGTATCTAATCAAGTAGGTTTAGACAAGCAGGTTCCAGGATAATTATGTTTTAAGAATGCAAATTACTCCCACTCAGTATGGTTTCACATCCTTGACATCTACAATGCAATGTCTTATCACTGCTCTTTACAGTCTACTTTCTGCAGTAAACAAAGCTAAAACAGTATTACACAGATTATCATGCCCTAGAAAGTCCCCTCATTACCTTTAAGAGATTAATCAAGAAAGATTAAAGTGTCAGATATTTTTTTTTTGCACCAGATGCCTTTTCTTCCCCAAGTAGTAAACAATCAGATCTAATGATGAAGCAAAGACACAAAAGGCCCAAGCAGCATTACCGCATGGTGTCCCTAACAGGGGCAGTAGCAGCATCACTAACACAATATGAGGTTTCTTTACACACCCCAGAAACTTTCAGAAACTGGTGCTTAAATTCAATTAAATTTTTTATACACATGGCCTCATAACCAAGACATAAAATACCAAGCAAACAAGCAGAACTTCTGACTTCCTCTCAGAATCTTAGTTCCTTGCCTAGCATTTCTTTTGTCTGTAGTCAACCACAAGACAACCTCAGCTCCTGCAGTTGCTTTGTACTTGGAGGGATGTGGTCTCACAGCAGAATTTTCCAAGTGCACTCAGAGACTTCAGAAAGGTGCAGCTACCCACATGATTTAGCAGTAGTTAAACTGAATCTTAATAAAGGGATGACACTGAAATACAGTTCCATAGCTAACTTAAAGACTAGTTACCCATTATATAAAAGGATGCTGAGCCAATCTAACTTATACAAAATTTGAACTACATGTGAGTTTCTGTGGAAAAGTTTTTTTGTCCATATGTCCAGTGAGGACTACAAAAAAAAAGTGCAATCATAACTACACTAAAACTTATATCAAAAGGCTACATCATTATCTTTATAGATATAATTAAAAAAAAAACACAAACAAAACAACCCTTATTATTGCAACTTTCCATCAAGTACAGAATTGGTCATTCTTAAGATCACCTGAGTTCACCTTTTTATGCACTGATATCTGAAGCAAAGTCAGCACCGAAAATTCACTTGAAAAATCAGTAGCATACTTTTCTACCACAACACATCCAGACGCTCTTTAGTGTTTTTTGCTAGAATAGGCAGTTAAAACAGTGATACAATACGTACCCATGCTTAGACTGTTCTTGGTGAAAGGTTAAAGTAGCACACAATGGGCCTACTTTGCCTTTAAGATCTGCATCTCTATTAAAGACTGTTCTTCCCATCAGCACAAAATATGTTAAAAGAATAATCCAAAATGGAGTAATTTCTGGAAAATATGATGTCAGACACCTGACTCACTTCTTCCTATTACTAAGCTAAGGTATTGCTGCTTTGACACACCTAATCAAATCCAGCACTGCCAGTGGATGAAAAGGCACAACTAAAAATTATTATTTTAATTTTAGGATAAAGAATGAGGATTATCTTCTTGTATTAGCCCCATGCACACAAAAGTGCAGCTGATACAGAATAGTCAGTAAATCTCAGCTTTTTTTTGTCTTCTTTTTCTTATTTCTGTGCAAATACTGCAACCCAAGTACTAACTTTTACAGCAGTTATTTCTTCCTATAGAACACTGTGACTAAAACTCAGTTTCCAGAATAGAAACAGAATTTTTTTTGAACAATGTTTCAGCCAAACTTTACTTTAGTAGAAAGGTTCTTCTAAAGAGAAAAGCAAGCACTGCTGTTTATAAAAACAGTCACTGAATTTCAGAACAAAAAACCCCAGCAAATATGAGCGAGGTGTTCCTAAGCAAGTGGCACTGCAGCCAGGGAGAAAAGCTCTCCTTTTACAGATTCCTGTAAAACAGAATATTTGCTTTCTGTTAAATCATCACACCAGTGTCACCTGAAAATCATCCTTGTTACTCAGCATTTAATGGAATAAAGCAAGAAAAAGAAACAGTAACACTGGAAGAATAGTATTACTTCTGCTACAGATTGCAATTCCTGATTCATATTTAAAGTTTCACTGTAGACCTGATGCCTTTTTTGTGTCTCTAATTAAACATCGCCTTTTTTCACATTAGCAAATAATAATTAAGTTACTTTAAGAATGCATATCTTCTTGAATTTACACAGTCCAGTACAGGCTTCAGCACTTTTCCTTTGAAAAACCTACTACTAAAAGCCACGGTAGAATCAAGTGACCTTCATTACATGATTCCAACAACTTTATAACCTAGCCTTGTCTCATTTATGATCCAACACTAGTTTAAAAGGTAATGAAAAAGAAAGTCAAATGTCTCAAGCTTTTCCAGCATCACAGGGGTACATCTTACACTAAATAAAAATAGTACTTAAACAAATATGAAAATACAGACAAGTAGCCATGATTCTTTCCTAAAAGCCATACAAATGAGGAATAGACAATGATCGTTACTAAAAACCATTTGGACAACAGAGGCATGCTGCCCATTTCTGTGCAGACCCATAAGGCCTCAGCACTTCAGCCACTGGGTAGTGCTGGTTTTGGTTCAGGCTTCAGTTCCAAACCCCTGAATGCAGTATCACTGTATTCAAAAATGCATCTTTTTGGCAGTTTTAAGATGAACAACACTAGGTATAGACAGTTTTTAAAAGATGTATAGATACATTATGCAGAACTATAAAGCTACTCAGTTGCAAGTAGTTTTGTATCTGATAAAACAAAGGACATAATCCCATATCAAACTGCTCTTCCTCCTGTTCTATCTTATTCAAAAGCCTGAAATCCACAAGCAAATTGCTATCAATTTTCAAATACAGATATCTTTCTGATGTTTAACATGTAAGTCATATAATGAGTCATCCTATCATCTGTTTTAACAAAATCCTTATATTTAATTAACAGAGGAAGCCATTAGGAGAAAAGAATTACTAGAGTATTAGGATAGAAAGAAGCCACCTGTAATTAAAAAATTAAAAGCTTTTTACTAGTTAAAAGTTTCATCCTGTGGAAAGAAAATACTTTGTTTCAGAGTCTGCTCTTTAAAGCAGACCAACATCACATGTGAGCTGAAACTACTGTTACACACCAGCTACAGTTAAATCTACCATTTTTTATCTAACAGAAATCAAAATGACTCACTTGTCCAGAAAGACAATGATGACATTAATTACATAGGAGCTAGGAAAAGGAAGATAGGTAGCTCAGAGATGATAGGGGAATCAAGGAAGGAGGAGGGTTGGGCTATGGTCACCGATTTTCCTCTCCACTCTCCTCCAGAGGAGTCAAATCTGCAGTCTGGGATCAGCTCTGCTTCTGCTGCCGCCCAGTCTTTACCTCCCATCGACCATTACAGGCAACTCCCAAGCATTATTAAAGCAGCCTCCACGGTTCCAGCACGAGCCAGGTGCCCACAAGAGGTGCAAGTCCCTCAGGCAGCTGAGGAAAGCAGCTATAAAAAACCAACGGTGGCTCCATTACTGCTCTACAGGCAGCCAACGTGACAGGCAGCAACAAGGACAGGAACAGAAGAGCTGAAGTAACCAAACACACAGCCTGTGGAGGAAGCCTTTTATACACTGTTTCATGAGCACTGCTTCTGTTATCCTCCCTTGGGCAATTCTGCAACACACGGAAACAAGTGGTGCCTGGCTACAGGCTCAGGTTAGAGGGTCCCTAAATTTGGAAAAACAGTCAAGCTACTAAAAACAAAACCACCAAACACAAGTTATTGTCAACAGTTTTAGAGATTCGAGGATATAAATTTTGTCCTATAGTCACCATTACAAAGACAAAATCAGAGAGTATCAAACCTTTATTCAAATTCTGTGAAACAAGATACAAATACTGTCACTGCTACCCAGTTTAATAATTTTTTAATAAATTTTCCCCCAGATCAGACAAGACAAGTCCTGGATCCAGGACAACTGGGAAATTCGTTGTGATTTTTACCAAGCAGAAGTCACCCAGGTACAGTTGGCAACACTAAACATGAGTCCTGAGCAGAAAGCCACACACGATCCCTCAGGAGCACACCATCAAACTGTTCTACTCAGACACAGAACCACCTCACCACAATCTACATTTTAAGTCATTTTAAAGTGCACTTAAAGAGTATTTTAAAAAGATAAGATTTCATTAATACTAGGGCTTCTGAAAGAAAATTTAGAAAATTCATTTTTTAAGTTAGAACACATCAAGGTTTCTACAATAAATCGTGGATTATAAACAGACTATGCAGTGTCACAATGAATGGGTATTCACTGATGAAAGAGAGATTATTCACTCTAGTTAAATTTTCCATTTTCCAGGATTGGTTCCTTACTCTGAGTTTACCTGTACAACCTTAGAAGTGATGTACTCCGAGATAGTAACTTGCCAGCTGAAGTAGGCCCAAATTACCTCATTTCACAAGCATGCTATTGTTCATGTCACTCCACACTCATGGAATTCCATATTTTATTGACAATTTCAGCAGAATATTAACAGACTAAAGAACTAGTATTTAGTAACTCCTCTTAAAAAAAATATTTTATTAAATTGCCTCCTGCAACTTCAGATACTGTGCAAAAAGGCTATTATTAGTAGCCTCAAGAAATAAAACATAAACCCCCAACATTTTTAGACAGATAACTGGCATCTAAGTTAGGGCAAGAATCAGCAGTCTCTCAAGAAATATATTTACATGAAAACATAAAAGTTAACAAAAATAAAACAAACACTGGGGCTAAAGTGTGTTTGTACAACACCAACCAAACCCGGCAATAAACTACCGTATTTTATTTTTATATTCCAGATCCACTTTATAGCGAAATATGATCCACTGAAGAGAAAGGAAAGGATTATCTTTTCCCCAGCAACATCCATCCTGGTTTTAACAGGCCTCATACCATGCAAGGAGTGTCCAGTTAAAATACATTTACGAACATGTAATAAGGCAAATGGTCTGTTTATTCGGATTTAAAACAACGAAAAGAAGTTGTCAGCTGAAGTCTGATGCAGAGCTCTTGAGCACTAATTTTCTGGAGCCTGCACTGTCGTTTCGCATTTCTTCCCCAAAACTCTCCGCAATTATCGGGCGGCAGCTCCCACGCGTGCATTTCGAGCGAGTATTTAGCAGTCACACAGCACGGCCGCACGGCCCGGGGAGCGCCCGGCCGGCAGACACAGTGTGGGACTCACCCCCACTCCGCACCTCAGCACTTGGGCCTTTTGCTGGAGCCTTTGTCAAAGGTCTCCTGACCTGCCCCCACCGCCCTGTCCCCACAGACCCACGCCCCTCTGCCCCCACCGCCTCCCGCCCCTTGCCC